ATACATATCAAACATATGCTACAGCGTGTACAGTTGTATACTTGCACATCCATATTAACACATATACACAAATATAAATAAATACACCTGTATATACATATGCATATATACACGCATATATTTGTACATTCATCCACATACATATGTACCATCCCCGCAGTTAAAGAGAAGAGAGAAAAAAAAAGAGAGAAGAAAAAAAAAAACAAGAACAACAAGGCCAGTTAGGTGAGGTTAACTATTGCTATAGCTTTTTTGTCTGTTATATTACTGTTTACTTAGCTGAGGATGTTTTTGTTCTCTATATATCAACCACTTTTCCCAGTCCATTGTAAAAGCATTTTTTTCATCTTTAAAGTATATGTAAGTTCTTCCATTAACAGGATTTCCTCAATTATCCCAAACCATTGTTTACAATTCAAAGTAATATTTTTAAGCCAATTCCTAGTTATAGTCTTTTTACAAGCCACAAGAAGAATCTTACATAAATATTGGTCGCTTTTAGGTACTATGCCTTTAATATTTCCCATAAATAAAAACCAAGAGGTTCTAGGTATTTTGTATCCAACACTTCAGACATGACTACCTGCACATCATCCCAAAAGGATTGGATTTTCTCACAACTCCAAAAGATATGTGTGTGATCCGCTTCTAACTGTCCACACAGTCTCCAGCAAGCCTGCTGCCTGGACACTTGTTTACTTTTGATCTTAGGTGTTATGAAGAAGCGAATAAGGCACTTCCATGAAAATTCCCTCCATATTTGTGAACTGGTAGTTTGGTGTATTATGCACATATCATACCAATCTGTTTCTGGTATTTCAGTCTTTAATTCTTTGTCCTATTTCGATTTTATATATAATGTGGAGGAAGGACTGCAACACATCAACACCTCATATAAAGAAGAAATTATTCTGGGTAGTGTACGATTATAGGCATCGATCATCATTTTAGTAAGGGAGTGGATGTCATTTATTCTAATTTTCCTTTTTTTGTTATAGTAATCCTTTAACTGAAAATATATAAATAAATCCTGATTTCTAAGTCCGAAATTACCTTTTAAGTCTTGGAAATATAATCATTCTTTAATTTTATTTTTAGCATGAACAATCAATACATTTTGTAAATCTGAAGTGAAAAATGTCACATTACTTAATAACAAACTCTTCAAAGATCTCATTTTTGTAAAAATGTAACTTAAATTAAAAATTAAATTAAATTAAAAATGTAATATGTTCAGTAATAAATAACAAATGAAGTTCTGATCATTTGCAGTGTATTTAATGTTATTAGCATTCAAATACAATATTAAAATGGTACAATTACTTATTTTATCCTTAAAAATAACCCTCTTTTTTTCAAAAATAATCAGTATATAGTGCTTGGAATCAGATTAATTTTTTTCCATTATATTTCTAAGTAAAACAAAATAATGACAGCAGGTGGGACTCAATATCCATCAGGATCTGACTGGATTGTAAAAAGTGAGGTGTGATATTATTTTAGATATTACTATAGATGGAGAAAGTTATTATATTCGGTGAAAAATTATAGAAACAAGCGTTTCCTTTACTTTAGGATATTGATTGGAAAATTATTGTAGAATTCCTGATCTTATAATGAATGATTCGTCAATGCATGTTATAAAGAATAAAAAGGTTTTTCATAATCTTTTACAATGTTTACAGTTTAGGTTGTACAGGCTATTAGATAAAATTAACCATCCAGTCAATTCCAGATAGATAAAATGTTACACTGTACTTTTTCCCCCTCCTGTTCCCTCAGAAACATGTCACATTACAGTAGAAAAATGGGTTGCGAATACAATTTAATGTTAACTTTAAAGACTACGCAGCCCCATTGAAGAGAAGAAAAAAAGACAGAAAAACAGTGAATAAAAGAGAAAAAGAGAGGGAGGGGGGAGGGTTGTGTCAAGGGATTTTAATTGACAGCTGTACAAATCCCCTAGATAGACAGCTTTCCCCTCAGATTAGGAATTAAGAGGAGCGACAGGAGGAAATCATAGCCAGAGCATTCCTGCACGCTGATGTCCTTTCCTGTCTTTCTCTTCCTGAACATGTGAAAGAGTGTGTGTTTTCTGCAGATAACACTGTCTGATCATCACTTTTCAATCTACTGGGATTTGCAGAGCTGTCCTCATTGCACATACAGCCGACTAAATTATGATCAAATACTGCGGTTATGCTGGATGGATTCTGACATGAACATTGGTAGATATTTAAAGTGACCTGCTGCAAACAATCAAAACCTTCTTAAAAGAAGAAAAGGTCTTGACAAGCAAAACCACATGCAACATTAAGCCTTATTTTCAGAGAAAATATGTGGAACGAGACATAGAAATCACATAATTAAACAGTAAATCTTGTTTTAATGATTTTTACTTGAAAACAAAATAAAAATAATTTTCTTTCTTTCTTTTTTTTTTTACAAACATCACTGAAAATCTAAATGCTTTTTTGCCATTGAAAAAACTCATCATATCTGCGTTTACACTGACACAAAAAATCCGATCTTTCGCTCACATCTGACACAGATCGGAATTTGTTGCACACGTGTAAACACAAAAACCCGCACGAGATCCGATTTTTTTTGCATCTGATCTGAGCCACTTCCAAATGTGGATTTTAATCGGATACACATCTGATATCTGGACATCCGACCTACGTCTAAACACACATATCCGATTCTCCACAGAACTCCCAATGCGAGGGCGACACGTTTGCTCATAAAGATTTTTAATGGCGTTTTAATGCCGGCGTGCTGTATGCGCTCGCATTTTATTGAGATGGAAACTTTTTATAGTAAGAGATTGCACATTCGATGCACGATGGCGCCGACGCTGATGGCTGCCTCCGTGGCGTGCTCCGCAGTTGTTTTTATGTTTTTGTTAGTTTGTCCTGTCTTTAGTTATATCCCTATATCAGCAATCAGTTTCACCAGAGACGAATTGCTGGACATTCGGCAGTACACACCACCCGATATTTCACCGGTTTTCAACTATTCTGATGTTTTGCT